GCTAGCTAATATTGTCATTGTTATTTATTACATTCCTGTTATGTACAAAGTATCTGGAAAATAAATACAAAAAAGGAAATACCTTGCCCTCAAGAATCTTACTTTCCATTGGGGAGGAACAAAATATACATGCAAGATTAACTGAAAAATTCATACAAAGTATCTTTTCATCTTTTTGATCTAGGTTTGCATTACTCCTTTGGTGCTATTGTTCTCCACTAATGGCCTCTGCTGATGCCTCATCATAGCATTGGTGATCTAGGCTTCTCCAAGCTCTGCCAGTAGAGCACAAGCCCTGGCAGGTCCTACCAAGCTCAAGAAACTCCATTTATGGGATGAGATGGCTGTTGCCCCAACACCGGCCTCCCTGAATTCATAAAGATTCACTACCAGGTCATCCACTGGCACAAGCAAATTTTTACCCATAGCAATGGTGAAGATTATCTATTAATTCATAGAGAAGTTGTGGTTTGTGTCAGTGAAGTGCTCACCCACCCAAGCAAATCACAAACTCTTCAATTATTGAAGAATAGTCGTAATCAATGTCCTCTGCTATGCTTTCTTTGGGTCCTTGTTTGCAAACTGTTCACCCATCTTAGAGTTTTACAATGGTGATTAGGCATTGCACTCAAATACATGTTCCTTATAAATTTTATATGTTAATCATTTATCTTTTACATTTGATGCACATTTTTCAAATCTGACCTTGATAATTCTTGGTTGTTTTGAAAAAGTTTGTAATTTTAGCAATAAACTCACCAGCCTTCCTCTGCTCTAATGTCTAATAATTAAAAAGGAATTAGTTTAATATAATTAAGATTAATATGCTATTCTCTTTTCTTCTAACCTATTCAAGTTTCATTCTCATATTTTTAATTCAGTGACACAGAAGGAATTTGTTGGAGCTCAGGGTGCAAGAATCAAAATTTATGTTTCCTCATCATGTTCTCCAACAACATTAATAAACTCAGAAATCTTCCACCTAGTTTTCACTTGCCTACAGTTTTATTAAACACTAGGATTTGTATGTGCTTGGTTCCATTTTTGGGATTCCACATTAGTAAAGACAACAACATCTACTGATATGTATAGAGGGATAGAGACTGAACTCATGATTTCATTAATGTAAGTAGCTCCCTCTACAAATGTATGTCATCACTTGCCTGGCAATTTGGTCTTGGAGAGTTGACTTAGGACAGTGAAAAGTTAATTGATTTGTCCAAGGGCACTAAATAATATTTGTTGGACTTGAACTTAGCTCTGAGGCTAACTCTCTAAGCATTATTCCACACTGCTCCTGCACATATATATAGATTCATTATTACATAGAGGAACTCCCTGGGTTCTTGAAGGCTAGGCAATCGAATGCAAGTCCTTCCAAACTGCAGAGGTTTCCAGTTTGGGCCAGTGATAGATCACGTCTAGTGTTAGCCATGCTAGGTCCAGATAGGTTCATCACACAGTTGGGTGAAGGGAATGAATTTTTTGGCCAACCAAACTCTGACAGGCTATATGATAAGGTGTTATAGGATTAGACTCTGTGCCAGTGGAGAGAAAACCAATATCCATTAGATGATAATCCTGGAAGCACTGAAGGAAGACTTCTTTTACATGAAGTGGGTAAGTCTTCATAACCATTAAATAAAGGTTGGTACAAAGGGCAAGAATCAAGAGTCATCCTTCAAGATTTTGAGAAAACGAAGTACACTAATGAATTATTGCTGGAGCTATGAATTGGTCCAACCATTCTTGGAAGCAATTTGGAATTATGCATCTAGAAGGACTACAGTCTCCCCAGACTTTGACACAGAGATCGCCATTGCTACGTATATATACTCCAAAGAGATCAAAGACAATACACTCCCTAAGAAAAAAATCTCCAAGGCCAGATGGATTTACCAAACATTTAAAGAACAATTAATTATAATACTACACAAACCATTTGGGAAAACAGGCAAAGAAGGAGCCCTACCAAATTCCTTTTATAACACAAATATGGTTCTGATACTTAAACCAGGAAGAGCCAAACCAGAGAAAGAAAATTATAGACCCATTTCCCTAATGAATATTGATGCAAAAATTTTAAATAAACTATTAGAAAAGAGATCACGGCAATTTATCATTAGGATAATGAACTATGACGAGGTGGGATTTATACCAGGAATGCAGGGCTGGTTCAATATTAGGAAAACTATCAGCATACTTGACCGTATCAATAGCAAAATTGAAGAAATCATATAATTATATCAATAGATGCATAAAAAGCTTTTGACAAAATACAGCACCCATTCCTATTGAAAACACCAGAGAGCATAGGAATAAAAGGAGTTTTCCTTAAAATTATAAGTAGTATATATCTAAAACCATCAGCAGGTAGTATATATAATGGGGATGAGCTAGAAGCATTCCCAACAAGATCAGGGGAGACAAGGATGCCCAATATCACTGCTATTATTCAATATTGTTATAGAAATGTTAGCTTTAGTGATAATATAAGAAAGAAAAATTGAAGGAATTTGAATAGGCAATGAGAAAACAAAATTATCACTCTTTGCAAATGATATGATGGTATACTTAGAACATCCTAGAGGATCAGCTAAGAAACTACTTGAAAAAATTAACAACTTTAGCGAAGTTGTAGGATACAAAATAAACCTACATAAATTTCATCAGTATTTCTATATATTACCAACAAAACCTAGCAGCAAGAGATAAAAAGAGAAATTCCATTTAAAATAATTGTAAACAGTATAAAATATTTGGGAGTCTACCTTCAAAGACAAACCCAGGAACTATATGAACATAATTACAAAACACTTTTCATATAAATAAAGTCAGATTTAAACAATTGGAAAAATGTCAATTGCTCATGGGTAGGCCAAGCCAATATAATAAAAATTACAATTCTAACCAAATTTACTTAATCAGTGCCATAACAATTAAACCATGAAAAAATTATTTTATTGAGTTAGAAAAAAATAATAACAATTCATCTGGAAAAATAAAAAGTCCAGAATATCAAGGGAATTAATGAAAAGAAATACAAGGGAAGGTGGGCTAGCCATACCAGATCTTAAATTATATTAGAAAGCAGCAATCCTCAGAACTACTTGGTACTGGCTAAGAAATACAATGGTGGATCAGTGGAATAGGTTAGGTACACAAGACACAGTAGTCAATGACTATGGTAATCTACTGTTTGATAAAACCAAAGACTCCATCTTCTGGGACAAGAACTCACTATTTGACAAAAACTGCTCAGAAACTAGGCATAGACCAACATTTCATACCATATACCAAGATAAGGTTGAAATGGGTACATGATTTAGACATAAAGGATGAAACCATAAGCAAATTCAGAGAGCAAGGAATAGTTTACCAGTCAGATCCATGGAGAAGGGAAGAATTTATGACCAAACTAGAGATAGAGAACATTATGAAATACAGAATAGATGACTTTGATTATATTAAATTAAAAAGGTTTTACACAAATAAAACCAACACAACCAAGATTAGAAGAAAAGCAGAAAGCTGGGAAATAATTTTTACAGCCAGTGTTTGTGATAAAGGCCTCATGTCTCAAATACATAGAGAGCTGAGTCAAATTTATAAGAATACAAGTCATTCCCCAACTGATAAATGGTCAAAGGATATAAACAGGCAGTTTTCAGATGAAGAAATTAAAGCCATCTATAGTCATATGAAAAAATGTTCAAAATCATTATTGATTAGAGAAATGCAAATCAAAATGACTCTGAGGTACCACCTCACCTATCAGATTGGCTAATATGACAGAAAAGGAAAATGATAAATGTTGGAGAAGATGTAGAAAAATTGGAACACTAATGCGCTGTTTGTGGAGTTATGAACCGATACAATCATTCTGGAGAACTATTTGGAACTATGCCCAAAGGGCTATAAAACTTTGCATACCCTTTGACCCAGCAATACCACTTCTAGGTCTGCATTCCAAAGAGATCATAAAAACGGGGAAAGGATCCACATGTACAAAAATGTTTGTAGCAAAGGATTGGGAATTGAGAGGATGCACATCAATTGGGGAAATGGATGAACAAGTTGTGGTATGTGAATGTAATGGGATACAAATGTTCTATAAGAAATAATGAGCAGATGGACTTCAGAAAAACTCATAGAGACTTACATGAACTAATGCTGAGTGAAGTAAGCAGAACCAGGAGAACATTGCACACAGTAACAGCAACATTGTGTGATGATCAATTATGATATACTTAGCTCCTCTTAGCAATTCAATGATCCAAGATAGTTCCAAAAGATTCATGATGGAAAATGCTAACCACATTCAGAGAAAGAGCTATGGAATCTGAATGCAGATCATACCATATTATTTTCATTTGTTTTTCAGTTTTTGTTTTTCTTTCTTGTGTTTTTTCCCTTTTGTTATGATTCTTTTTTTGCAACATGACTAATGTGAAAATATGTCTAACATGATTGCATATGTATAACCTGTATAAGATTGCTTGCTCTCTTAGGGAAGGGGGAAGGAAGGGAGGGAGAAAGTGAGAAAAATTTGGAACTCAAAATCTTACAAAAATGAGTGTTGAAAACTATTTTTACATGTAATTGGAAAAAATAAAATACTATTAAGTAAAAAAATGAATTTATAAATAATAAATAAATTAAAATCACTGGGGGTAGGGGGAGAGATCAAAGACAAAAAAAAAGTTTCCATATATGCCAAAATATACATACCAACACTGTAGTAGCAAAGAAATGGACACACCATAGGTGCCCATGTATTAGGAATATATTGGAATATTACTGTGTTGTAATTAATGAATATGACAAATACAGAGAAGCTTTGGAAGACTTACATAAACTACTGTAAAATAAAATAAGTAGAACCAAGGAAATCAGTACACACAATGATTTTTGTTTTTCAGTTGTTTTCTCTCACATCCAACTCTTCATGACCCCATTTAGGGTTTTCTTGGCAAAAATACTGGAATGGTTTACTATTTCCTTCTCCAACTCATTTTGCAGATGAGGAAACTGAGGCAAACAGTGTTAAGTGACTTGCCTAGGGTCACATAGCTAGTAAGTGTCTGAGGCCAGATTTGAAATTGGGAAGATGAGTCTTCCTGACTTCAGGCCTGGCACTCTATCCACTGCACCACCTAGCTGCCCACAAAGGCTACAACACTATAAATGGAAAGAACTCTGAACCAATTGAAACTGAATGTTAAGAAATTATAATACCAAGCTTGGCCCCAAAGAAGCAGCATTAGAAGACATTTCCTCTCCTTCTTTGCAGAGGTGGGGGAGTATAGATGTGAATAACAATTAATATGTCAGACGTTTTCAGCATGTTGGCAGTTTCACTGAACTGTGTTTCACTTCTACCCACATCCTCATTGGGCAGGGGAATGATGCCCCTCTCATCAGGCAGACTGGCAATGACTAAAGGATAGGACCAATCCTAGGGGAAAGACCACTGGCTTGATAGCCAGGAGACAGAGACTTCCCTATGACATGGCTATGGCTAGGGTCAAACTATTTAAATTTTCTGACACTGTTTCTTCATCTGTAAAATGGAAAAAATAAGCATGTAGGACCTGCTGCAGAAGGTTAGCCTGATGATCCGAGAGGATATTATCATAGATGGAAAGCATTTGGCAAACTTTGAAGTACTTTTTAAGTTGGGATGGAATCTGGACAGTTCATTGTATAGAGAACTCCTAGGAGACACACTCCACCAATGGAACCAATGCAACTTATGGGCATAGAAAAATTTCTTCAAGTGTCATGTATGACTTGCCTGGGTCCCACAGTCAATGTGTGGCAGAGACAAGACTGGATCCTTGGCCTATCTCTCTATTCACTACACTACATTATGGTTGCTCCATTCCATGAGTGCCATGCATTAATCCCAAACAGGTTGAGTGGGGGAAGAAATCAGAAGGTAGATAGGAGAAGTGCTTTCCCTCTAATCCTGTATCTATAGAA